AGACCATGATCCTTTGCTCTGTTTCAGTCCAATTTACACGATGAAATAACTGTTATGAAGCAGTTTTAACTCTGAATTATTTCAATTCTGACAGAAAAACAAGCATATTCACAGTTTTGTTAGATCGCAATAAATATCAAATCGTGAGTTGCATATCGTGAAAATATCACTAATGTTAATCCTTTCCACTCACCTTATGGTTTGGTTTTATAGTGTTTTAACAGTCAATATACTGTCAATGCATTTATTGTAATTTCTTTTTACCAAAAGGTGCATACATTTGGAAATAATCATTATAGCCTAATGATAACTTAACAGACCGCTGTAGTTGCAGGACTTTTCCAGGATTTCCATAACTGTGGGAACCCTGTATACAGTGTTTTCCTGACAGATATTCAAGAAATGCACAGTTGAATGCTAAGTGTTGTCAGCATTACTGCTATCCTCTAAAAGCTGTGAAAAGCACTTATAAACTGGCTATGAATAATTAGGATGAATAATTAGGATGCTTGGAATCATAGACAAATCATATAAAGAAGGTGACTAAGGGAGTGGAAGCGAGCGGGTTCACTGTGTCTATACTCTGCTTGAAATGAAACTGCTCGATAGGTCTTTTATGCAGGGGAGAGAATACCAAAATTATGCTCATTAAGCTATTAGTCATGGCTAGTTGTATTTTCACGCATCTAAGCCCAATATTGCAGTTGCCAATAGCAACAAACACAGGTGTGCTGAGGCTACACGCTGAGCTGGTGGGAAAAAACAACAAATGTGAGTTTCCAGAACATTTGGCACTAAGAAAAGAATCTACACATGAGTTCTTGCTAATGCATCTCCAGTGCATTTTCACAGATTTGCTGAGCGAAAGATCTGTTCGGTTTGGTACATTTTAGCTGGAACTTACATTCGTTTATTCCCGTAGCAAAAAGGTCTGTGAATTCTTGTTAAAGTATAAGTATATATGAGAAAAATCAACTCTTCTTAACCACAAAATCACATAAGAAACTAGTACGTGGTGCCTCAGAAGTTCAGATGTAGCTATGCTTCTTGGACGAGCAGAAAATCAAAGTCTACGTCCCTAATATGACAGGGATCACTTCTCCACAGATCTGACCTGTAAACCTGTAAAATGACCTGGTGAAGGCCTGCTACATTTTAGCTGAATTCATGTATCATTCATTTTTCAATATAAAACCAAAAACAATTAAATGAAAAAACAACAGTTTTCTTCATTATTTGTCTTCAAAACCAAAATGAAAAAAAAAAAGGAGAACGATTTGTTTTTTGAGTTTTCGATTTTGTATTTAAATGAATAATGAAAAAAAAAAAAAAAAAAAAAAAGGATAACGGCCGTTTCCCGATTTCGTGAATTAAACTGTGATGCTGGACTTTTGCGTTGCATATGGACTAAACCCAGACTAAACCAGGACTAAACCAGGACTAAACCAGGACTAAAACAGGACTAAAACAAGACTAAAACAGGACTGAACAGGTCTAAACCAGCTCTAAACCAGAACTGAACCAGGACTAAAAGAGATCTCAGTCCTGGTCTCAATTCAGGTCTGGTCCCAGTCTGGTCCCGGTTTCCTGATCACCCGACAGTCTACGCAGGCGCACGTCTGGGCCAGTCTGGGTTGTTATCCATTTTTTTTCATTATTCATTTAAATACAAAATCGAAAAATGAAAAAACATTTTGGTTTTGGAGACAAATAATGAAGTTAGTTTTCTTATTTTTGGTTTTATATTGAAAATGAATGAAAAAGTGATACACGGATTTAGCTGATACTTACATTAGTTTATTCCCACAGTAAAAAGCTTTGTGAATTAAAGTACAAAGGTAAAGTATAAGTATATATGAGAAAAAAAATCTACTTTTTTAAACCACAAATTCAGTTAAGAAACCAATACGTGGCACCTCAGAATTTTAGATGTGGCTATGCTTCTTGGAAATCAAAGTCTATGTCCTTATTATGACAGGGATCACTTCTCCACTGATCTGACATGTAAAACCTGTAGCTTGGCCTGGGAAGGATCTGTTCAGTTTGGTAGATTTTAGCTCAAATTTATATTAGTTCATTCCCACAATAAAAAAGTGTGTAAATTCTACTTAAAGTATAAGTATATATATGAGAAAATCGACTTTTTTTTTATCCCCAAATTCACTTAAGAAACTAGTAAGCAGCGCTCAGAGGTTCAGATGTGGCTGTGCTTCTTGGACTAGCAGAAAATCAATGTCTCCCCAGCTACTCACCTGAAAACAACACGTTTGAGAGTTTTAGAGCTGGCAAATTCTCAAGATCAGTGCCCCGAGCGGCAAATCATTAAGGCTCATTATTTCTGCCAACTCACCAGATATGTGGGGCGTAATTGTGTTACTAGAAACCGCGCAGCACTGACCGCGAGCTAAGTGGGTTTCGAGGGTCAATAGCTCAATGCACAAAGTCATTTACAAATTTTAAGGTGCACTGTGTAACTTTTTCTAGTAGAGGGTCCACCACAACACTTGGCTCCATGTTGTTTTTTTGTGAAATGTTCCAAGGTATGGCATTTAATTTAAAGGTGCATTGTGTAACTTTTCTGGTCAAGGGTCCGTTCACTGCTTGTTTCTATGGATATGTCATTGCTCTGTCAGGATTGTTCCACAGTATGACGCTCTACCTTACATTTTTATTCAATTACAGGTGGTTTTATAGCTCATAAACACCTAGAAAAACAGACATTCTCACTGTGAGTGGCGTCGCCTCTCCACAGATCTGTCCTGTAACTTGGTCTGTTTTGGACTCCATGAAGATAGAAAGGTTTAATACCACACTGTGAAACATTCCAGGCAAAGCAATAACATTTTCACGGAGAAAAGCATTCGACGGACCCTCCACCAGAAAAGTTTCACAATACACCTTTAATTTAATTCAAACTCCACGGAGACAAGCAGGCTAACACCACCAGGCTAAGTTACAGGTCAGATCTGTGGAGAAGTGGACCCACTGACAGAAACTAAAGAAACTTGAAAAATTAGAAACACCTAATTAACTGAATAAACACAAGATATATATTTTTAATGCCATATTGTGGAACTAGCCTGATTCATCGGCTAGTTTCACTTCATGGAAACCATCTGACCTCACAGCATTAGGATTTGTTCGCTCGACAGTAGGCGAGTACTTATTTATTTAGCTAATTGCTGCTATTTGGTCTTTAAATCCTCAATCTCAGGAATCGTTGCCAACACAGAATACACGGCTTCGTCTACATCCATCTTGACCGTTTTGTTTACTGTTGTGCTTTACCACAAAAGGGACCCAGACAGGCGCTTGAGTTTGACGTGATGGCTTCACAGCTCTTCCCTGATTGGTCGGTGTCTACAACTTCCGGGGTTCTTGCAAACTGTCTAGTGTATTCTGATTCCTGACCTAGTCGCAAAGATAAATTAAATTGAGTGGAGGCACTAGGTGGCACCAGCCTGGCTACTGTGGAACATCCCAGGCAAAGCAATAAGATCACCATCGAGACAAGCAGATGGAAGACCCTCCTCCAGAATTTTGTAAAGCAGAAAAAACGTGTCTTGTGGTGTGGAAAGGAAAATGACAATCATTGAGATTGAGAAAAAATGATGGTGTTCAAATTCATAAAAGTAAGATTTGTTTTGAGTGAGACCAGAGCTGTGCATGTGAAACACCTGCAGAAGAATGGGACTGTCAGGATCCATTAGTGTCTTGGTTAACAAAGCCCCGGCTGCTGTACCATGGGGGCTGGGTTGAGATATTAGATTTGGAGTAAAATTTGTGGTGAATTTGAACGAATTGTCTGTAACAAATTGGTCCTAAAGAGTAAAATATAACTTAACATTAAAGTTAAGCATTAGATCACATTTCCATTTCTTATTAAGGAAGTTTAATGAAGCAAATCAAGGGGAACCAGAACTAGAAAAAGTCTATACAGAGCTCATTTTCCTTGGATTTTATTATATGCCACTAAGAGTTGAACAATACATATTTCAGGGAATTGTGTAGGCAAATTTGTCAGTGTCATATGCTTCCACAATATGGCATTAGACTTATGTATCTTGCATTTATAAAGTGTGAGTGTGTTCTCAAAAATACATTGAATAACATGTATTCTTACTGTGACCGGGGTCGACTCTGCCCAGATCTAACCTGTAAGTTTCTTTAGATGCACAATGTGCTTCTTTCCATGAATACAGACAAGTTTAGTGCCATACTAGGGAACTTTAAGTCATAGTCATAACAGCAGGTCCTCCACCAGAAAAGATACACAGTGTACCTTTAAAGAGCATGATAATAATAGTACTGAATGAGGGGTCAGAATTACTGTATTTTTTGGACTATAAGTTGCACTTTTTTTCATGGTTTGGGTGGTCCTGTGACTTATACTCCAGTGCGACTTACACATTAAAATTTTCACAGACAGCCGCGAGAATGCGCTCTAGGCTTGTGTGCCAATATCTGCTACTACCGCGCATGTCTCCTGCAGAAAGAGCCACTGTCCTCTTTGGTATCACGTCAATCGACTGCACCATTACTTCTGACCCACTGAAAACTTAAAAGTTTCAGACTTCAGTGATACCGAAACCATCCTGTCGGGATTCAGAAAGGCCAAAATAATTCTAAATGGAACTGATGCCGAGTCTGACCACAGCTACACAGAAGAGGAAGTGGCGCTCCATCAAAAGTGACACAGAATTAAGAATAGAAAGGATTTAGTGATTTGGAGTGAGATCGAGAGTTTGGTAAACTTATTCTGTTGTTTATGCTCTAGGTATCTGAAAAACTGTTCATATGTTACGTTAATAGCCTGTTGTTCTCTCTTCTGTTGTTATTACTATTACTTGCCTTTCAAGATGAAATGTCCTAAGATTAAATGTTTCCTGGTCTCTGATTTTATACAAATTTATATAAATATATAAATATAATAAACTTCCCCCAAAAAGTGCAACTTATAGTCCGGTGTGACTTATAGTCCGAAAAATACAGTACTTGGATAAACTTAGTCTTGAATGTTAAAAGACACCTTTTAATTAAAAAACACCAGCAACAACAGCAACAGAAACATAAAACCTCATACTTAACTTGTATGAGGTATAAAAAATTAAAATAATCCTTTAAATCACCAGTTTATTAAGGAATATAAGACAATAAAAAGATACCAAATCAGGAAGACACACCCCCAAGATTAATAGAGATAAAAACATAGATACTGAAAGATGATTTCTTTTTTTAAACATTTGATTACATTCCCTTGGGTAGTGCTTCATTTTGCAGTGTAGCCAAGTTGTCATGCTACATTTTATGGGTCCAACGGCGTTCAATTTAAGGCAACAGAATCAATCACATTAAAACAACTGCTGATACAGACAGGACGTGTGCGGGACATTTTGAAAAGCTGAGTGGGTCAAGGTAGAAGGAGCTCCATGGTAATCCGTCATATGCCCCAGGCCCAGGGTGCAAAAGTAATGGGTCTTTATATTACATTCAGCTGATATGACGCGGGCTCTATTTTGCACAGTCAAATTGCACTTCGATTTCCAGCTAACAAAGACTCAGCAACATTCTTCTGATCGATATGTGTCAAAACGTCCCCCGCTCCTGATAATGGATCTGACAGCAGTGGCATAAAAGAGGAAGTGCACACAAATCGACAGGCATAAAAACAAGGTAGGTTAGAAAACAGCATGATTTAAAGCTAAAAACAAATGAATAAATCACAAATATAGCCTATTTACAATAAAATATTAAGCTTTCACAACAAAAAAATGATTTAAAATAGACATTACAGCACTCCGCAAAATGTGAAATAAAAGATTTAAAATGTAATTGCCATAAAATATTTGTATATTATTTAGGTGTTAATATTGAGCATAAAAATATATTGGAACATTTCTTTAAGGAATTGATGGTCAGACCACAAGCGTCATAACATCTGAAGGCAGTCCAGGGGTCTCATTTATAAAGTCTGCATACGTACAAAAATGTTAACGTGATCAAAGGTTTGTGATCTATAAAAAGAAAATTTTACATGAAAATCAGCAGTCCGGTCCACAAACTGAATTTTACGCATCGGAGTTTTCACAGATGAGGTAAAAGGAGATGTGCACACAGGGAGAAGAAACGTGAGCTAGTCTGAGGAAGTTTCGTGGAAGTTTGTGTTTTGTCTGTTTGTACATTTTTAGTAAGAATTCCATGTAGAGTTTTATAAATGAGACCCCAGATCTGCAGCACAAATGTTAACAATGTGAATGTTACTATACCAAATTTCATTATAGGACCTAATGTTCTATAAACTAACAATTGCATACTGTCTCTGGATAAGACACTTCACCTGTATTGGAGACACCTGCCCCAGTATGTGCTCGATTGCATCTGGAAAGGCATCTAACAGAAAAAATAAAATAAAAATAGGACTGAGAATAACATTTTTACAATTGGTTATACATATTTTCCAACCAAAAAAACTCAACCTTGACACCCATGTACACATTTGCGATAAAATCTTAAGGCATATCTGACAAAAAAAAAATATTGTGAATAAATGAAGGGAGAAGTGCACTGAATTTTCCATCATATCTGACAACGGTTGGTTTCACCAGATGCTCCGTTCCGTTGCCTTCCCCCAATTCTTGTCTGAAAGTGAGTGAGCTGCCACCAATAAGCCTGGCTGTGGAAGTAGAGCCAAGGGAGGAATAGATTGCACATTACGAGCGCGCTAAAATTACAGAAACTTTGAAATGACTAAGGTTTGTGAGCAGGAATGACCTCTAAGATCATCTGGATTTGTCATTGAGTAAAAGTAAGGCAAAAAGTTGAAAAATACAGGATGAGGAAGCGAGAAAGTAGTGTAGGTAAAGTCCACATCGGAATGGAAATCACGGGGCGTGCTCCATGGACCTTCCAGAATCATTGTCGTCCAGATCGCGCGGGTCCACTGGGTTGGCTCTGGGCTCGGGCAGCCTGAAATGAACAGAAACACAAAAGAGGAGAGTCAGTGTTATCAAAGGAGAAGCTCACAGAGTTTGCATTTTAATCATTTCATCACAACCTGCAAGTCTGCAAGTTCATTCTTTTGACAAAACCTTTCCAACTTTTCACCAACTCATTCAGACACTTCATCTGTATGGATTTATAACGCTGATAAATAAACGACGGACAATAATCAATTTAATGAGCTTGAGGGCTTTTTACTAGAAAATTATCAAAGATGTACGCAGCTTCGATACTGGTTTTTGTGCTGAAGGAGTTCAATGTAATGACAGTATGTATATTTTCCTTAGAGAGATCAGTATGTTGAAGTAAAACAAACACACAGAAAAACAGCTTTTAGAAACTTCTGAACAAAATCATTCTTTAAAAGGGACAGACTAGTACAACTGAATACCAAATGCCAGACTACAAGCGCATGTGATTAGCCATAATGCATTGTGGGGAGGCGTAGCTCTCGTGAATGCTTCAAGATGTTTAATGAGCAGCGTGGGCGCGGTCGTGCATCACCCCGGACTCCTGCCAGCGTTTGATTGGTGCGCCTTTAATGACATCATCATTACTGGCATTCGGCTGCGTCCTGATGCCAGCGGAGCCTTCACTTCTAATCACCCACTAACCACAATCCAATGAAACAATATAAGTCTGAATTCACTCTCAAAAAACGCCACGCTACGATTTGGTGCGATGCCAAAAGTAGAAGAAGCTGTGACGGATTTACGGCAAAATGGCTGCTGATAAAGCACGGCTGAGTATTTCTGAATGATAGATTTTATTCTCCGCGAAAACCTCTGCATGCACCTCCCGGCCCACACATGCATACTCGTTATATGGGAGTATAATAAAGCTAAGATGTAATCAGCATCAATCAAAGGCCGCCTTAAGTAGAAATCATCCATTCTGTGGCACACGCATTAGCCCGCTCTGCAGTGACAGAGACAGAGTGGGAGCGAAATTGCAGGGACCTGTGGCAATCAGAAGCTCGCCTGATAGATTCAATTTCACAAGTAGAGCGCTTTACACTCATCATAGGCTCTAATTGGACAAAGTCACAAGGGTGATGGAGGGCTGGAAGTCTACCCCCAATGTCTTTCACTGTGTAACTTTGAATGGAGACTTAAGCATTCGTGGTCACATTTCAGAACTTAAATGGATGTATAAGGATGAAAAAGTTCTTTGACATTGGAGAGAACGCTTGGATTGAGTGACCATCGACCTCTGCTGGTAATATTAGAAAGTGAAGTATGTGAAAGCGCCGATATTACGCTATTTTCTGATCTATGTTATAATGTTTCCTCGTCACAAACAGAGCAGGAGTTGTGTTTTGTTTCATTCACACATGTTTAACACACAAATCTTGCGTCTTCAGGCTGTGTTCTTCTCTCAAACTGAAAATACTCTCTGTTCCACCTTGTGATGTCATGTGGTCATTCAGGAATTGCTCCACTGTGTTTTTAAACTCCATACACCTTCACTAGAACCAAAAAGGTAAAAATGTTAACAAAAATTACCTCTGCATGACATCACAAGGTGCAAAAGAGAATTTTGAGCTTTGGGGATGTAGACTAATAGCCCGATTCATCAGCCGATTTCACTTTGTAGAAACCGTCTGACCTCGCAGTGTTAGAATTCGTTCGCTCGAGGGTAGGTGGGTACTTTTTAGAATTTAACCAATCGCTGCTCAAAGTAGTCAAGTATGTAATGCGCCACTAACGGGGTCAACTGGTATATTAAGCTTTTCCCAAATCCCATAGGAAGAAGGGCAATAATGTCTTTCCCCTTGATGAAATCCACCAAACATTCTCTTTGTTCTAGCTTTAAATCCTTGATCTCAGGGATTGTTGACAACACAGAATATGACTCTTCGCTGTTAGGCTGGTGCCCGAACTTGCACTTCCAGGGTTTTTGTGAACCATCTAGTGTATTTTGATTCCTGACCTAGTTGCTGGACAGAAATGAAATTGAGCGGAGGCACTAGGTGGCGCCAGCCTGGCTAGTACACCAAGCCCTGGAGTTTCAAAATGGCTGCCCATTCAAGTCAAAGGGCCAAGCTCAATGGCGCATGATTCCAGATTAGCCTAGACTAATCAGAGTAAGAGGAGCTAGAGCGAATCAGAGCGGAGCCAGAGTTTGTGATTACATTGCACTCTATGAGAAAAATCCTCTCTCAGCCCATGGGATTTTATCCGCTGAAGCTTTCCAGTGACTGGCCACTACATCAACTGGAGGCAGCTACAAGCAGCAATACTGTATCAAGTTATTTTTACAGTTCCATGATGTACACAGACTAATAATAAAGGGTCACTCAAACAAATGTGAATGAAACAAAACACAACTTCAGGTATGTTCTTGAGGAGGTAACAACATTTTAACATGTATAAAAACTCAAAAAAACAATTGTACATTTTGGGTAATATAGTACCTTTAAAGTAGCTAATCAGCATTGCTATTAACACTAGCTGTGGTTACATGCACACTCAAAATCTGATTATTACAGATTTCTGGAGCTATTCATCATCTGAATTACTGATCATGCTCCCTCTGATTACATCAAATTATGCAGTTTGCGTGTCCTTCAAGTAATTTCAAAGGTCTCGAAATCGGATATTAATCAGAGCTTGTAACTACAGCCACTCTGAAAAATCAATAGATAGAAATTAGTAACAAAGTGACACTATGTACGGGTCCCATTTATACAATTTTCTGTGGGATTCTGAGTTCTAAGTGTGCGTACAGACCAAACACAAACTTCCTCAAACTCAAATCTTTAAGTGAGAGTCTTGTCTTTCCGGGCAGATTGCCTCAGAAATCCCCCGCCGGCAAGTTTTAGGGTTTGTGGACCGAATTGCACTTTTCCACCTCAAGCTGTCTTTTTATACATCTCAAACGTAATGTGAAAAGTCCTATACCTAACCTTGTTGTGTGATTTATAAATGAGGTAGGTACTCAAACAAAGTACTCAACGTTAAAGGTGCACTGTATAACTTTTCGGTTGGGGGTCCGTCACCTATGGATATGTCATTTCACTGCTCAGAATGTTCCACAATATGACATTAAACAGCTCTACCTTACATTTATGAAATTACAGGTGGTTTTATAGCTCAAAAATACAACAGGCATTCTGACTGTGAGCGGGGTTGCCTCTCCACAGATCTGACCTGTAACTTGGTCTGGTTTGGACTCCATGAAGATAAAAAGTAGGGGTGTAACGATATCCAAGTCTCACGATACGATATTGTTCAAAAACCTGGAAGTCTGAAGTCTGGGGCCAAGAAACATTTGTCTGAGGGCCGCATTTGACCCCCGGGCCATAGTTTGGACATGCCTGATCTATGTAGTTCACTCCGTCTTTTTTTTTTTTTAGCTATTGCGGCACCATAACTCTTAATTTAAGCAAAGACACTTGTAATTGAATATATTATGATGGTCCATGATATTATTGTGAGAACTTAAAAAGACAGACAAAGCACGAACATCTCCATAAAGAAAATCATTTGATGGGCCCTGAACCAGAAAAGTTACTCAATGCACTTTTCAGACCTTCAAAAAGAAGAAAAATGTAAAAAATTGAACATCATCAAAAGAAGTGTTACAAAGATCCATCTCACTCCAAAAAGAAAATGAACATAAAAAAACTGAATTAGTGTTCGCTCGCAAAAGGAAAATTAATCATAGTTAGAGGACATTCAAGATTTATACATCTGAAAGTGCAATGCCAGCATGTTACACTAAGAGGCTGCAGTTAAATTGAATCAGATTGCAGCCTCTTTACAGTTATGGCATTTAATTTGGGAACTTAAACGTTTCCATCAGAGCTTCCATTTCCTTTGACCTTGAAGTGAGACGCTGGTGATTTATTGTGGAGAGTTTATGGCCATCTGTCAGAGAAAGCAGATTTCATTCACTCTCAGCTCCTGGCTCAGCTGCATCAACGCACTGGTAAAGTGGCACCAAGGCTTGCCAAAGTACACAGACCTAAATGGACATTGAAATGAATAAACGTTACAATGTCGTTATAATAGGTGAGGGCAGGAAGCTATTGTACTAGTGTTACATTTAATGGTCAGATTTTTATACAGTGATTTTCCACCTTCAAGGCTCTCAAAGCGCTTTACATAAACGAACCACTCACCCATTCACACTCACTCATACAGCAGTGTGCGCAAACACTGGGGGCACGATGGGTTAAGTATCTTGCCCAAGGACACGACGACAGCATTTGTCTCTTGGAGCTTGAAGTGCACTCTGGATCAGACCGCTCTACCAACGATGTCTATGTCGAGAGTGGGATTTGAACCACCAACTTTCAGATTAGTAGACAAACATTCCACAAACTTAGCTACTTTAGTAATACGGTAGGGCACATTCACAGAAATTCACAGAGGGCCAAAATTTAAAACTGGGACTAAGTCGTGGGTCAAACAAAATATTTATTGAAAAATCTAAACAACATCTGCATGTTTTCTCTTCTTTCGAGATATATAATGTTAAACCTTTTCTTATTTAAATAAATGTTTAATAATAGTTTTGCTTAAACCTTGAATCCAGAACAAGCATGATATAAAATAATAACAACATTTTGAGAAAATAATGTCTCAATATATGTCTTTATCTGTAGCCGGTGGGCCAGCTCTAATACATATTTGATATGATCTTGCAGGCCATGACATATCTGCGGGAGGGGAATTAACTAATGTTATTAAAGGTCCTATGTTACACAAAATTTAATCTTCTACGCTTTCATTCACACTTGTTTGAGTAATCCTTTATTATTAGTCTATCTTCATTCCCAAAGATCAAAAGGCTCTGTTCCAGTTCTAGTGAAGGTGTATGGAGTTTAAAATCACAGTGGAGAACTTTGTGTATTACCACATGACATCACAGTGATGGTGGAACAAAGTGATTTCTGTTTGAGAGAAGAACTCAGCCTAAATATGCAGTATTTGTGTGTTCCTGAAACAAAACTAAACTCC